CCCCAAAACCCCAAAACCCCAAAACCCCAAAACCCCAAAACCCCAATGATCTATATATTGATTGTTTGCAGAAATTATTTGAATTTGAATTTAAAACATAATGGGAGCCAAAAAGAAGAAGCATGCCGGAAAGGGAAAGAAAAAGGAAGACGAAGAAGATCTGTCTGTTGAGAACTTCTTCAAAGCCTATAAGAAGAAGGTTGCCGAATTACAATGCGAATCATCTAAAACGCTTAAGGAAAAATATGAGGAGTTTTAAGAAGAAGGAGATCCAATAACGAAATTTCATTTTTGGGAAGAGCTCGGCTGGGCAGGCATCAAAGCTATTATGGACTCGCTTAGATAAGTCAAGTAAGTCTCAGACAATAAAAAATACTATTTAGCTATCCGCATTGCAGAAGTGTTAGACTTTGGAAAACGTTTTGTGAAGATGAGGGAGTAAGGTCAGTTTGCACATATATAGAATCCGCGAAATCGATTTCAGTTTTGGAGTTGCTTGACAATAAAATAACTCCTCTAGGTTGCGAGTTCATAGCTAGAACAATACATCCAAAATCAAACACTGCAATTAGTGTTCTAAAATTAGACCACAATGAGATTGGATCAATGGGTATTTCAAATTTAGCTCATGGATTGTCAATTAACAAGACTCTGGTTTCGTTATCGCTAACTTACTGTAATATTGATTATATGGGTGGCAGAGCACTTTTCGAGATACTAATTTACTCTTAGTCTAAACTTGAGGAATTGAACCTTAGTGGTAATCATCTAAGAAATGAAGGAGTCATTGTGGTCCTTAGAGGTGTATCGATAGCAAAGTCACTAAAGAAAATATATCTTGCTGACAACTAGATAAATGATCATCCATCAGTAATGGACGCTCTGAAATCATGCATGGTGAAAAATAAACGACTTGGACGATATGACTTACAGTACAATAACTTTGGTGATGATGGTAAATTTAACTAATCTTATTCATTATAGCTATTGCTTAATTGACTGAACTTTTGGCCGAGCAAGCAAATCATGTGTATGAAGTAGATATTAGTGAAAGAATTTAAAAAGCTACTCTTGAAGAATTCAGAGAAAGATTAAAATCTAATAAGCCAAAGAAAGGCAAGAAAAAGAAGGGCAAAAAGAAGAAGAAGAAGTGATATTAATTTACCTATTATATTATATGGTATATAGTAATAATTGTGTTAAATATTAAGAATTAATGATTAGTTGAATTTAGAGGAGTTGATAGTACTCATACTTCTCTTCTTTTCAATCTATTAATTTAGCTGGATTAGTAATCTTTTCCAGAGCCCTAGTGACTGGTTCAGATACCAATAGTATATCTATATGGCAAATTAATATTTTGAAATGAATGAGTATATTTCATTGAGAGAAGGGTTTGGTTGGAAATTTCAGGTTGTCAGAGATGTAACTACTCCACATTATTTATTAGGATAGGGATAGTACATTCTTATCATCATTTTATCCACCAAACCAGCTTCTTTCAGAACTTGCTTCATACCTTTATGGTAAGCTTGTGTGGTGTGTCCGCTTTTGTGCGAAATTCAATGTCTATTTAATATATAATTATAATTTGTATGATAGTATTAATAATTTAATAAAGAATTAAAATGTTCTCAAAGAATCTACTGCTGAATCAATTCAGACAAAGATCTGTCCTCTATCAAAATCTTCATTAAAGACTCTTTTCAGTACTTCATTCACTTATTTAGTTAATACTTCATTATAGACAAGACCATTCAACATCTTAGGAGTTTAGCAAGTAGCTCTTGGAAGCTTGAATAAAGGAGAACTTAGTAAGTTTTGGGGAGATATTCTTGGATTAAAGAAGACTAACTCATTCAAGTCGGAGAAGGAAAATGTTGATGAAGATGTTATGGAGATTGGAAGAGGTGTCCTAGGCAAAGTTGAAATAGATTTGATGACTCCACTTGACCCAGAGAAGTCTCCCAAGGTTCATATCCCACCCCTTAACCATATTGGTCTCTGGGTGGATGATCTTCCTAAATGTGTAGAATATCTTGAGAGTAAGATCATAAAATCTTTTAAAACAATCCCTATTAGAAAATGGATCTAGAATCGTTGGAGGAATTCGCAAGGGTGCATCTGGATTTGATGTTACTTTCGTTCATCCCAAGAGCGCATGTGGTGTATTATTAGAGTTAGTTTAGGCCCCTAAGGAGGTTATCGATGCTTGGGAAAAGGAAAAGCAGTGATTCATTTTGATTTACAAATATCAACGATCATTCAGATTAATCAATCAATCCTTAATCATTCTTAAACAACATCACGGGGTTTTGGGGTTTTGGGGTTTTGGGG